TTCTTCTTCTTCTTCTTCTCCTCCTCCTTCTTCTTCTTCTTCTCCTTCTAATTCTTCGTCTTCATCTTCCGCTTCTTTGTCTCTTTCTTCTTACTATTCCTCTTCCTCTTCTTCATGCTTTCAATCGCAAAAGCTGCTAATCGTTTCTATATTTTATTTAAGCCGCGCGCATCCCTCATTTCATCCAAAAAATATCCTTTCAAAACGCTTCAACAACAAAATTCTGAATTAAACTACTAAGAGAAATAGCTTGGAATAATTATATAATAAAGAACCTTATTATTGATAGTTTAAATGGTTGAATCTCTTATGATCAGTATTCTAAATAATGTCATAATATCATCAAACCTTATTAATTGTAGCTATTTCTAGCAAATACTGTACGATCGATTTACCAAATACGTGTGTTTAGAATAGCTTTATTTTGAGATGGTTGAGTGTTTACGTGAATTTCAACTATGACATCTGTCAAACATGTCGAAATTCCAACCACGTTTCCCTCTCGGATCTTGAATGTTTCCTCTCCGTCGAATGTTGTGGAACACAGAGTAGTGTGTAAAGAATGGTGGCACAAACACGTAGTCTTTTCCAGCCAGTCATTATGATGTCGTTCATATAGAATATATCTGAGACTGGAATTCGCAGGCGATTTTTTTCCTCGATTATAATAAAATTTTTTCTTATAAATCTGAGAGGATTTCTAATGAGAAGAAGAAAATTTCTGGTACGCGGCCATAACCGTCCATTGGCATTGCGCGATGAGCAATTTAGGAGTTCAAAAGTTAAAAATGTTTCAGTACTCCTTAATTCTGGAGAAAAATATATTTTGGAACTGTAGGAAAAATAAGTCAATTCCAACGTTTAGTTTATTTAAATACTTCATACAAAAAAAAAAAATAGCTGTATTAAGAATAGAAGTTTACTTCAACGGAAAAAAAAGAAAGAAAACGATGAAAACCGATTTCGTAACATTACAGAATGATAGGAGATTCTATCTTAAGATCTGATGCTAAAAATGCGAATCATCACAACGTTACTTATAACATGTGTAAACTTTTCCAACAGTGATAATGTTCGTTGATATAACAAAATGCAAAAATGAAAAGTATTTTTATTCAATTCAGCCAAGATGGCGGCCATGAAAGCTACCATAAGCCACTGGTCAACGAGTTTCGTGATGACCTGCTTTGAACTTCTAAGGGGATCTCTCGTTTCTCGACTCGTTTTTCCACATGGACGTTTTCGGCGTAAGCTACGAAAGAGTATAAGGGTTTAATATCCTAGGATAATCGCGGCCTTACATTAATTTTTATCGTGGATACTCTGAAACATCCAGTCTGGGCTGATCAAAGTCAGGGCACCGATAGCTCACAGATCGATTTGGAATCTAACTATATGATTATGTACTTAGAAGAGGACATGATTTACTAAATACCATTTCCCCCCTCAATTCAATGTTATTAGCAGGTCTGACAATCGTTAATCCTTTGTTTTTAACTTTTTCGTTCATTGATAGTTTAAGTAAGTTTAATTGAAAAACTAATGGTAGGTTAATGTAGCTTTAGTAATAAGGAAGCTATCTATGGCTTCCTTCCATTAAACTCATTGCATTAGTATAGGATATTTGATACTTGGTTAGCGAGTTCGATATTGATGCGGCGTCTACAACCTTACGCGACTTTTCCTCTTCTGTCTCTATATCTACCGCTTCCCATCTTTCACTTACCCATTCATGTTTTCATCTCAATTCATCTCATTCATTCCTTTCGATAAACGCCTTACATTCAGTAGTATTGCATTTGTATAGGATATTCGATGATCGATCAGTGAGGTGGACATGTACATGTACAATCATTAATCCGGCGTTAACAACATTGCGCAACTTTTCTTCTCCTGTCTTTATAACCATCTTTTCCCATCCTTCACTCCCCCATTCATCTCCTCATTTCTTTCATTTCATGATTCCTTTCATTGAATGCCTTGCATTAGTATAGGATACTTGATACTTGGTTAGTGAGGTGGACATATACATGTACAATTATTGATTCGGCGTTAACAACATTGCGCAACTTTTCTTCTCCTGTCTTTATAATCATCTCTTCCCATCTTTCACTTCCTCATTCATATCTTTATCTCATTAATGTGTTTATATGTTTTTTATTTAAACAGTTACGTAAAATTTTGAAATTAATGCTTATTTTACTTGAAACCTTGTGTTAGATCGTTGTTTGTTGGTTCCCTTCTGTATTTCCAGGGTTTTTTCTCAAGGAAAAGTCTTCATTTAATGGCGAGTCCATTTAAGAGGCTCTCACTTGTCCAATGCTAAAGCCGTATCTCTTCACTTTCCTTCACCTATCTACTTCGTGCAAGGTGGCACATTAGGCATCACCATATAAAGCAGAGGGAAATTCAACAAAAAAGGTGTGCTATTGCATGTTTAACACCAGAAAACATTTTCGTTTATGTAAATAATAGGATATTAAATTCATTAGAAACACCATACAAAGCACTGCGTCAGACGATATATGCGAAGCGTATCGCCTTAAGCATCTCTTTAATTGCGCTATATAAAATAGTATAGATCGATGGACTGTTTGTTGGCGCATCGGATGCTGTTAACTCTGTTGACTCAGTGCAAAAGATAAAAGCAGGACATTTAAGCTTGTCAAAATATAGGCTTGATGATCAGTCACCTGCGTCAAAATGGTTTTTTTTACTCCCATATTCTTTCTTTTCTATTTCGTTTATTTCTTTATATTTCTCTTTTTCTCTTTTCCTTTTGATGGTATTGTTTTTATGGCTATTTCTGTCTCATTTTTTAAAAGATTTTTCGCACTTTCTTTCGTCTCTCCTCATTATTTTTTATCTTTTCATTATATTTTTCTCGTTCATTTTAGCTTTTTTCTTTATTTAAAATATACTTCTTTTCTTCTTTCTCTCCTCCTTTCTTCTCCTTTCTATTCCACTCCTTTTTAGCGCTTTATTTCGTCTCTCTTTCATTCTTTCACTGCTCTTTTTTTTACCATTTTGTGTGCCCCTTTAATTCTTTTTTGTTTTAATTTTCTTATTTTTTCTTTAACATACATTTCCTTATTCTATTCCTTATTTTTCTCCTCCTAATCCCCCCTCTAAAACAACTTTTTTCTGCAATATCTTTCGTCTTTCTTTTCAGAAATTTATTTGTACCGTTCTATTTCTCTTGTTTTCTCTTTTAATTTATTTCTTTATGTTATCTTCTTTTTTCACGATTTCCAATCTTGCAGGTCTTTTCTCCTTTCTCTTATGTTGCGCAAAACGCGAGTAACGTCACCAATTGTCTTTGCAATAACAACAGAAGTGCTATCTCTTTTCAACTTAAAGTTGCCTTTTCAAATTTTGTATAGCTTTATCTTCAAATTCAAGGGCTTCTTAAGCAATCTCTCAGTTAAAAGATTCTCGACTTGAATACCAATTAACCTCATGATACTAACCGCCACTTTTCCCCATATTTACATACCTTCACCTACTCTCACACTTAACACATACCCGTTCACCATGTTTACAATCTATTTAACCCCTCATAATATATTTCATGTGTTTGCTTGTGAGCGGCTCTTCATACGAAGTTGAATTTTCCCAGTTTTTTTTCTAGAGGGTATCAAGCTAAAATCAATTAAAATTATCTATAAAATCTTAGTTCCAGATGGAATCACATTTCTTTTGAGTAATAACACTTTCGTTATTCATTTATTTCCTTTTATGTCTAATATTCGTTCTTGCAACTAAAAATGAATTCGGCCTTTTTCAGTTTACGTTTTATTAACCTTTTTAATTGCCTGTTAATTCTATTGATTTAATATTATTTATATAGCGTTGCTTTTGAGACCTGCCTTAATACGAATTTCAATTTTCGCAGCTAGAGGGAGTGATATCAAGTTAAAAGCGAATTAAAGTAATTCGGCCTCTTTTAGTTTATACTAAGCAAGTGTAAACAAAAATATTGATATTAATTAACCTTTTATATGTCTGTTGGTTGTTTTAGATTTTATATTAGATTCTTTTAAGTTTAATTAATTCAGTATAAACAAAAGAAAAGATGGTGTCTTTACTTAACAATTCAAATAAAAATATGGGACTGAGTTAGAAGGCTTCCTCTTTCTTGCCACCTGTGCATGTAAGACAATCGCTATACAAAAATTCTTTTTTTTTTTTGATTATTTCATTTTAATGTTTTTTGTCTATTACTCTCGTGGTATTTTCTATTCTAGCTTTCCCTAGCTCTATAAGGCTGCGAAATGGTTTCATAAACTTGCCCGAACACCCGAGAAACGCATTTCAGCAAAACTAAATAATTGTTAGCAAACTGCCCATAGAATGTCAGGGTGTTGAAGTTAAAGTTATTGGTGAAAGAATCCCATATTGATAGTAGTACCAGTCAGCGGTCGTTTCCATTTTCTGCTAAGTATCGACTTGTTTCAGTACAATAGTTTTGAACGACTTGACAAAGCCTATGTAGGCTGTGTGGACGATCCTACAAGATAAACAAGGTAGTGAGAAATATTGAAAGAGCTATGTGTTATTCAGATTAATGTCGTGGTTGGCACTTGAAAGACAAGAGGAAAGAAAGAAAGAAAGAAAGAAAGAAAGAAAGAAAGAAAGAAAGAAAGAAATCGCTATTTGATAAGTGTTCATGCCAATCAGTCTGCATAACTAGCCGAGTGAAAGTTTCGATGTCGGCTG